CCACATTACAGCTCGTCGTTTAAATTGATCAAAACCTAATTTTGATGTCAAAAATGGATTCTCTGACTCCAAAAATATATGATTATATTTAGACATTTTCTATTTTTGCTAATTTTTGTTATAATCTGGCCCACTGTGCATGGCGCGAACAAAGGCAGTTCTAAAAATCCAAGATAAATATCTTGATTTTAAAGATTTGGAAAAATATGAAACTAAAAAGAATGTTGCCAAAAGGTTTACTGCTCCTCCAAACACTTTAGCTTACTAAACTAAGCATAAAGAAGACATAATCATTAAGAGTCTAGTCAATTTGGAGCAAGTAGGCAAAAGTTAAGTTTTGGAAAGCATAATTTCGTTGATAAAGCTGTATATAAATGGTTTATGAACGCACGTGAACAAAATATACCAATTGGTGATTTTACAAAAGAACGCAAAGTTACGGATTTTAAGAAATCAGAAGGGTGGCTAGATCGGTGGAAAAAATGACATAATGAAGTTTTTTCAAACCTTTTCTGGCAAGGAAAGGTCGTGCACAGAGAAAATGACAACAAGCATACTAATGCTCCTAATACATATACGGGGCTCCCCAAGGATCAATTTTAGGACCTTTCTTATTTTTAATTTATGTTAATGATTTAAGCAAATCTTGTTGTAATTTACTAGACATAGTTTTGTATGCTGATGAAACAAATTGGTTTCATGTTCATCATAATATAAAAATGTTGTCTAATTTGTTAACATGAAACTTTTAAAACTTACAAAATGATTTTAAGCAAATAAATCATTAACTAATTTATCTGGCAAAACATTCCAGTTGTTGATTGTACGGTTGTTGAAAAACTTATGTCGAACTTCGCAGTTTCTGACAATTTCGCAATGAAATCTGATTCAATGTTGAGCTCTAGTTGCTATGCTGTTTTACTTCCCATTCAATATGCTGCAGGGCTTTACTTGCCATTCAATTAGGTTTTAATTGTTGCTATGCTGCAGGGCTTTACTTGCCATTCAATTAGGTTTTAATTGTTGAGAAGCTTATATAGTTGAATAGATCGCCTCTTTTCCGTCTGTCTTCAAGAGTGGTTAATTTCATGACTTTACATCGAGTTTTGCAGTCTTTATTTTTCAAAACCTGACAAACTTTCGTGGCGTTGCGTTGTACCTTTTCTTTTGTACATTTTTTTATGTCACTATCAAGATAAGGGTTCCAAGCTTGTATGGCAAACTCCAGATGTGGTTTCAATTTTTTTGCAAATGTCAATGTCTCTTGATATGAATGTAACTTCTTTTACTGAAACATAATTTACACTTTTATTAAAACAATGCTGTATATTTAATGTTTATAATTTAGAATTGAATAAAGAAGAATTGCCTTAACAGGGCCGACAAAATAGGTTTTGAAGTGAGGGGCTGGCATACCTAAAGTTTCTAAAAAAAGTCCTATATATTATGAAGTTTCTAATAAAAATATAGAAAAAATTCAACTTAACGGGAATTCGCTTTAGTCGAATATTCGACGTTAAACCATTTTCCTTGGTCCCAAAGAGGTTTGATTTATCGTGAATTAACTGTATAATTCTACTGGCTTGCTTTTATTTTATATATACATTTTTCAATATTTGAAAAATGTATATATAAAATAATGAGTATTTGCTTGCTCAAGCAATATTGCAATAGCTAATGTAGCAACGGATAAAAAAGTAATATAAATTATTTAAACACTTTTTACTTAATTGTTTAATTTATGCATAATGCCTTTTGTTTTAGTAATTATGTTTTCAATTAGCGTAATATGATTTTTCCAATTAAGATGTTCATAATATATTATTCCAAAGATATTAATTGGTTTACTATAATGTTATTTGTAGTTTGCTGAGGAATTTGCAGAGGCTAGGTCGGACTTAGATTGGAGATGAAATAAAATATATATAATTTTACTAATGTTCAAAGAAAGTTTGTTTGATTTGAACCATTAAGGTTTTCCAGCTTTGAGTATAGGTAGCAGTGCTGAATTAGGATTTAGGGGCCCCAATTAAAAAAAAAAGATATTATTAAAAGAAACTCTCGGGGCATAGCAGCAATTAGAAACCTCTATAAGCATGCATAATTTTAAATTAACAGCATTTACAATTATACAAAGTTTTTTTTTATTTCTATTACTGCTGGTTAAAGCCATATTTTAAAGAAATTAATTAAGAAATGCGTTTGGATTAATAACACTTGTGTAACACATTCACTGATTAGGATTAATAAACAGATTCATTGAAATTAATATTCTTTTTTACAAGCTAAATTAGAATTAGTATACATATAGATTGTACAATAGGCTATAGACCCTTTGAGTATATTTGGTTGAGAAAGCCTTAAATGATTTCACAAGTGAAAAAAGAAAACTCCTTTAAACTATTAAGACGCAAAATATCTTCTATAAAGTTGTCCACATATTACAAGCTTTAATTTTTACAGGTTTATGATCTTTCAACCAGAAGAATGAGAATCTTAAAGAAACAGTTTTCACAGTCTTAATTTTAATTGTAAATGATTAGCAAATTTGTATTGTAATATGGTTACTTCTTTCTTTGAGAATAGTTAAACATAGTGTAGTGTATTTAGTTTTTGATCGCAACTAAAATGTTTAATTAACAATATTACGCGTTCATGGACACGTTTGAGTAGAAAAATTTACAAATACAAAACTCTAGATGCGTACTAATGAATCAAATACAGCTCGTACAGTTTTTTCCATAGCTAGAGAGCTCTGACACCGAAAAGACTTCTTAAAACAACCAAGCATTTGATTGCCAACCCAAACTGTTGCTTCTACTTGTACTTTGAGGTTGTTAGATTTTAGTAGTCCTAGGCCACGCTCAATGCATATTGAAACTAGATTGTGTCCGTTACCTTGAACGTCAACCATGGTATTGTTAATTAGTTTTTGTGACACCCAACTTGAATTACTTTGTACTTCTTGATGTTAAAATTCACAAGGCAGAACAGTTGTGCTAACAGTTTACAGCACTGTTGATTTCCGCTTGCAGTTTTTCATATTTAGAGGAAAATTCATTGACGTTAATAACTTATATGATCTTGCCATCGTTTGTGTATAATTTGGTATGTTTATAAATGTAGTCGGGTAAGTCATTGAGGGAGAACACAAATAGCAGTTTTGCAAAAAGTAATCTTTGAGGGACGCAACTCGTAAGCCTTTTTCACTCAGACATTTATTTTTTAACTAAATTTATTTTAAATTATTATTTATTTAAAATAATAATATAATCTATAATAATACAAACAATATAAATTTATTTTAAATTATTATTAAATAAACAATATAAAATAAACAATATAAAATAAACAATATAAATTTATTTTAAATTATTATTAAATTTTTAATTTTTATTATTTTTTAATGTTTCGAAAATCGTTTTTCTCATTCAAATATTTTATTTAAAAACGTTAAAGCACTTAACGTTTACGAACTCAATGTCTATAATATTTTATGTTTTATGTTTCGTTGTAAAAGTGAACGACCATTGTCTAATTTCAAAGATCTTTTTACTTATTAAAGCTATAAACAAATATGCTTTACGAAATAATAATTTATTAATTGAACCCTTTTGTCAAACAAAGTTTAATCAATTTTGCATAAACTATAGAGCACTGTATTTATGGAACAAAATTGTTGTTCCAAATTTTGATTTGTCAATTTCGTTTTCCATTTTTAAAACTAAATTAAAAAACTATATTCTTTCTACTGGCAATATATATAAATATTTTTGAAATGTAAAATTCTTTTTTTTTTTACTCTGGATAATTTGTAAAATTATTTTCAGTTTTTGTTTCTTCTACATTGTTATTAGTTATTTGATCAATTGTATTTTATTTTATTATATATACACGTATTATATCTTTTATATGGTTCTGGCGACAAGATCATTTGGATCTTCATTCAGATACCAAGTTTATATATTGTTATATTACGATTAATAATTGTAAACTGAAAAAAAAAAAAAAAAAAAAAAAAAAAAAAAAAAAAACTACTCATTGTTGTCCATTAGCTAGCCAATAAGAAATACAGTTTTAATAGCTGGCATTAAATTTCATAGGCATCAATTTTTTAAAGAAGTTGTTGTGTGACATGGTGTTAAATGTTTTGAAAAAATTATTTAAAATTATGTCAACTGGTATCTTGTCCATGGTAAACTGCTTTCGTTAAAATGTTACAGGATTTAATCAGATTTGTAAGCAACCTTTGTGATGTACAATTCCATGTTGAAAATTTGATATTAGATTGTACAGTGTTTTATTATCCAATCCAAAGATAATTCTTTCCGTCAGCATAGGTGAGAGACACCAGCTTGTACTTAAAAGTCTTGACTTTGTTTTCCTTTTTTGAGGGTAGGCGTGACATTTGTGTTGAGATTTTAACACTCCAAATAAAGTTAACTAATTTAGTTTTTTTTTAATTTTGCTATTTAAAATTGTTAATAAATTTTTTTCTGACTAATTATAGAAAAAAATTGTATTTTTTGTTTGACGATCTAACCAACTGAGCTATTCAGTAATAGTGCCACTGTCAAATTTAGTGTGTCGTGGACCGCAACTGGTACTGTTATATATACTCGTATTACTTAATTTATTATTACTTAATTTATTAAGAAATAAATTATATACATTTCTTTTATATACATATTTCCCCGGCTTTACTTTACTTCTCAAAAGTGAAGTACAATAGTACAAAAGGTCTGAAAAGTGAAGTACAGAATTTTCTCAAAATGAATAAAACTTATGCCTGGTTACTTAAAACAAGCGCTGTGACTGCCCGGATATCACCAACAAAGTTATATCAATGATTAATAAAAACGGGCACCAGGGCCATTTGTATATCAAAAACGGTATATCATCAACAAAATTATGACGTGTACCGAAAGTCACACATTTGACGCAAGTGTTGTTTTATACGTTGCCATGACTATTTAAACCCTATGTTTTTCGCAAGTGCTTTAACTTTGAATTTTTGTTATTTTTTTTTAGTCATATAAGAATATGAAATCGACAAGTGAAACTTTTCTAAGCTGTTTGTAAAAGTTAGATTTAATTTCTGGCAGAAATTTATTATTAATAATTTATGTTTGTGCAACACATCTACACCCTTCAATAGTAAATACTAGAATGTGAACATGGCTCAAAAATCTCTGAAGAATAATAGTCAAATGACCAGACTACAACATTTTGAAGAACCATTAGATTATACATTTATGTGTCTAACTACAATCGGTGGTTAGTAGCATTTTTCTTTATTAATATATTATTCCACTTAAGTGCTTCATGTTCTTAAAAGACCAAATCAATTATAAATAAGTAGTTATCCAATTTAACATGTTGTACTTATTAAAGCGTAAAACCTGCACTATGAATAAGAACACTAAATAAAAATGATTTAATGAAAATGAATAGTGATACTCAGTGTATAATAGTTAATACACAAATTTATCATACAACACTTAGCCAATATTATTGATTTTTGTTATTAATTATATATTATAACTTATAAGTATTTTGGCAATTTGTGTGTTAATACGATTTTTTCCTTTAAATTGCAATCAAGTGAAGTGATAGATTAGATCAATACAGTATTTTCAAGGTTAGTTAATTGCAGATGCATCTTTTTTGTAAACAGATTTTAGATTTTAATAAAGTAAATGAGATGAACAGCTTTGTTGACCTTAAATAGTTTAATAATTTCCGAATATGATGGTATGCTTTAACACATAATGAATCCTTAGCACACACGCTAAAAGAAAAGAATTGGTGAAAAAGCCAGTGCATTTATGTTAAACTTAAAAATCCAATTTTACATATAGTAAAAATATAAAGAAACTACTTCTTTAAATCTTGCTTAAAAATATAACATAACTCAAAAGTATATCAAATTACTAGGAAACCAATTCCTAGCAGCTCAAATGCAAGTATTTGGCTTAAAGGCTTTACACCAGTTATGGTTTATCAACATAAAACAGTTATAGTTTTTAGACCAAAATTTAATAAAATTTGTCTTGATTGTTACAACTATATTCAGATAACAAATCAGGATTGTGATGTGAGTTTTTTAGTATTAGAAAATGAAATTAATTTTAAATAAAATTGATTAAAATCATGGCAATTGAATTTTGAAACACACACAAAAAAAAAAAAAAAGTAATGACAAGTTTAACGTCTAATTATTTTTACTGGTTTTGATGAAAAATTACTTTATTTTGTGAAGGTATAGCAAACTTTTTATTGAAGATTTAAAAATGTGTCTTTTATTTACCCATTATAATAAGTGTAATATTGATATTAAATGCATGATTTAAACATTGAAAAAGTATAATTTTTTTACTAAAAGTCACAATAAAACTTTACTTGTGCTATATTCCTGGTCATAAAGAACCATACCTGGGACACAAGACTTTCAGAAGAGCTCTGTATCTTTTGCATCACATGTGAGCAGTAAGTCTAAACTCCACCACAAATTTGGCAGAAGCATGCTTAAATTGTTTTCTTATAGTTTAAATTTTATTAAACATTTATATGTTGTACAACAACAACAACCTTTGAAGGTTGCAGTTGTAGTACAAACATTTGAATGTTTAATCTATATATATATATATATATATGTGTGTGTGTGTGTGTGTGTGTGTGTGTGTGTGTGTGTGTGTGTGTGTGTGTGTGTGTGTGTGTGTGTATACACCCATATATTTATATTTATAAAACTTATTATAGTCATATTTATAAAACCTTTTTTGTTTGTTTTTGTTTGTTTTTGTCTTAAAATGCTTTGTTATTATTTTACTAACTTTATTTTTACCACAGTATCTTTAATATAATAGGCCATGAGTCTGTCAGGTCTTTTACAAAAATTTTTAAGTTTTATTCCTTCTTGCTACAAATTTGGACTTGTTTGTTGATTGATTGATTGTACATTTAAAATTAATAATACTTGGGTTGGTTTTGATAAAGATATTAAGAATCTATCATTACTTTTTCAAAATAATTATCATTACTATCATTACTTTTTCAAATATAAAAATTATTGACTCTGAAATTAAATCCTATATTAATAAGAAAATGAACCCATCTGTTTCTAATATTGTTAATAGCTTAAATATATGATACTTTAAGCTTCCATATATTGGAATGTACTCTAGTTATACTAAAATGAAAATTTCAAAAATTTTTCATAAATATTGCATGGATGTTCTAATAAATTTAATTTTTACTACTAATAAAATACAAGATTGTTTTTGCTTAAAAAGGTCACTTACTAAACTGCTTAATTCTCATGTTGTCTATATATTTTATTGTGCTCGTTGTAATGCCAGTTGTATTGGAGAAACCTCCAGACATTTGGCAACTAGAATAAATGAGCACCTTAAAAGTGATAAATAATCTCAAATATAAACACTTAAATTTATCTATTAATTGCAAAAATCTGACTAACTGTGATTCTTTTGAAATTTTGGATAATGCCCCAACCAAACACAAATTAAAGATAAAAGAAACCCTCTACATTACATGGGAAAGTCCCTCGCTTAATAAACAAACTTCACATTGTGCTATAAATTTATCTCTTCAATTTTACTGTCAGTTTATTTTATTATTATTTTGACAGTTGGTTATTTTGATTGGTTATTTACCAAGTTATTTTGTAATAAATATATTGGTTTATTATGTATAATTTTTGTCCATTATTATTTTTCTATGAAGACTTCTATTTTTTAATATTTATTTCAAAGTTTTATTATTGTAAAATAATCTTTTGAAAATGTAAATAAATTTTACGAAACATGTATGTATATATATATATATATATATATATATATATATATATATATATATATATATATATATATATATATATATATATATATATATATATATATATATGTATATATATATATTTATATATATAAATACATATATATATACATATATATATACATATATATATATATATATATATATATATATATATATATATATATATATATATATATATATATATATATATATATATGTATATATATGTATATATATATATATATATATATATATACATATATATACATATATATATATATATATATATATATATATATATATATATATATATATATATATATACATATATATACATATATATATATATATATATATATATATATATATATATATATATATATATATATATATATATATATATATATATATATATATATATATATATGTATATATATATGTATATATATATATATATATGTATATATATATGTATATATATATATATTATATATATATATATATATATATATATATATATATATATATATATACGCATATATATATATACATTCCTATAGTTAGACATCTAAATTCACCAATTGTGGTAAAAATTAGCTCTTAACAACTCTGTGTTTAAAGAATACAAAATCAAGTTCACTTTATGTAAAAACCATTAAATTTAAATGAGTAAGCTAAATAAATTTGATCATTTTTTAAAAAAACTGCAAGAAGTTAACTCTATAGACTGTAATGCTTTTTTTTATTAATAAAAATTATGAAAAACATTCTGAATGTTTTTGTTTTCATTTTTTACTGTTTATATGCATCGATTTGATTTCCAACATGTCCACCGTGCTCAACTTTTTTCTCTGTACAGCAGCCTTGCATGTCAAGGTTTGCCCTTCAGAGTTATAGACTTGACAGAGGCTTGTAACCATAACTAATGTTCCTTCTCAACTGCAGTGGCCTTCATGGCCTTGGGGAGGTGAATTTAAATAAAATTAAAAAAATCACCTGAATACTTAAATTTGTTGATTATATGAGTAAGAAAAACATAAGGATTGGTGAGAGTTTTAAGGTTTTGTTGATGTGCGAGGAAAAAAACTAGATAAATAAAAAAAATTTATAGCATGGAGGGAAAAGTCAAGCAAAATTTAGTTTTGGTTGATTGAACTTTAAATGTTTTTTTCTACCAATTATGATTGCAGCTCATTTGAGCAGCAGTCATGATTGGTAGAGAAAAAAAAAAAAAGATACAACCTTTGTGATGATGGTAGAGTGGCTCAAGTTGGGTTGTTATTTGTCAATATAAGAATTTCAACAAAATTGTGATTCAAACTTTTGTTATCTTGAACTGTATTATTTGGTCTCTTGAAACCGTCTTATTGGTTATTAATAAAAATCTCTGGTTAAGTTGAACCTTGGATTACTTGAACTTTATTTAGTGAAACCATTTTTTCATTCTCTTTCAGCAAATTTCTTCTGTTGACTCAAACTTTTTGTATGTGAAATTAAGAAATCAAAATAATTTGATAAATATTTTTTTTTAAATCATTCTATATAAAACATAAATAACAGTAGTCAAATTTTTTTATATTTTTTCGTTCTATTTAGATCTGAATAGAATAGTAACTAAATCTGAATAGGATAGATTGCTATCTGCCTAAAATAGTGTTAAAATAAAACTGTTAAAAAATAAATCAAAATAGAATAATTTTAAAAAAGAAATTATTTTAATGTTCCAATAAATTTCTCGCCAGCTTTTTGACACAATTTTATTGCCAAATAATAAGGAAGTCATTGTTTTGCTAAACTTTTTTCAATCTTTTTTCAAATCTTTCAAGTGTAAAGAGTGAATACAATACGTAACATCTTTTACTGAAACATTATTTACATTTTTGTTGGTATAATTAATGTCTATATTTTAAATTAATGTCTAATTAATGTCTAATTAATGTCTAATTAAACTAAATTAATGTCTATATTTTAGCATTGAATAAGGAAAAATCACTTTAACTTGAACTAATACCTCAATTCAGCCAAAGTTCAACTTAATAGAAGTTTGCTTTAGTATTCAACTTAATAGAAGTTCACTTTAGTACATTCGTTTTCTTGAAGAGTTGAAGCATTTTCAATTTTGTTTGCAGTAAATAACTGAGGTTTTTGGAATTAAAACCAAAAGCTACAAAAAAGTGATCAGAGTAAAGATTGACTGATTCTAAGCAATCAAAAAGAGAAGGATTTTTGTCAAGAAAAGAGTATAAAGTTGAGTTGTCAGCAAATAGAGCCAGTTTTGATGCAAGATCATCAGAGAGATTGTTATTGTACATAAGAAACAAAACAGGAGCATAGATAAAAGATTGAGATTGTAACCATCCTCTTTTCCAGTAATTTTCAAAGTTACTTTTCTTTGTTTCCAGTAACCCACAAAGCTACTGGGAATGAAGACGAGTGGA